AAGTGTTGGGTTGTTTTTCTTTTGTTGGAGGTGAACTTAGGATTAGAGTGATTGTCTCTGGGCTTTGTGGTTGAGGAGGTGCGATTTTTAGGTGATTCTGATTTTTTGTAATGGTGTCTGTCCTCGTATGAGGGTATTTCGTGTTGTCATATGTACTGGGTGTTTTATTTAATGAAATTTGAGGTACTCTTTTCTTCCTTCCAATGTTCGTTAACATACTTATTAGTATGTGGACGAATAAGAAGGGAGTTTTTAATGAGACCTCCAACTTTTATAAAAAAATAGTATCAGATAAATTAAATGTAAAAAATCAGTTTGTTATCGTGGAATATTAGGGGTTTAGGAAGAAAAGAAAAAGTCAGAGCAGTGGCCAGACTTGTGAAGAAGAGCAGCCCCATTTTTTTGTTGATACAGGAGACCAAGCTTGAATAGTGCCAGCAAGAGTTAAGAAGAAGATTAGGGGGATGCGATTAAAGGGTTTTAATTTTTCTCCAGCTGTGGGTTCTGCAGGAGGTTTACTTTACATGTGGAACGAGGATTTGTTTGAAGTTAATCAAGAATTTATTTATAGCAGATTTATTGCAATGGTACATTCAAAATGTTGAGGGTGGAGTGTGCAGTAATTAATGTGTATGGTCCTTCTATAGAGGAAAAAAAGGAGGTTTTTTCCAAGGAGTTAATGGATTTTGTAGTAGACCTTAATGTTCCAGTGTGTATTGGGGGAGATTTCAATGTCTACTTAGAGCCGGATGAGAAGATGGGTGCTACTCATAATTGGCATTCAATTGAGCTACTGAGGAATTTTGTTCAACAGATTAATTTAATTGACCTTCCATTAGCGGGTGGCAGATTTACTTGGTGTAATAATAGAGATTCTCCAACGTTGGTCAGATTGGATCGTTTTCTAATTAATGGCGGACTTCTGAATTGTTTCCTGAACGTAGTTCAAAGTCTTCTTCCCAAGTCTCTCTTGGATCACAATCCGGTTTTGTTAGAAGAAAATCGATTGAATTGGGGTCCTAAGCCATTCAGATTATTCAACTATTTATTAGAGGAAGAAGGGTTTGAAGATGTGGTTAGTTCTGTAATTTCTAACCTCAAGAGGGAAAATAAACATAGGGGCATATTAAGCATTTTGCAAGGTACAAAAAAGCGATTAAAAGCTGGTCGGGCAGTAGGCATATAGGGATTTCCGAGTCTATTTCGGTGTTGGAAGCCAAAATTCTTGATATGGAATTAAAATTCCAAAATGGCAATCTCCCGCCTCAAGATTGGAGCCAGTAGTCGCAATACATGAATGAGTTCTGGAGGATGCACATGATAGATGAGAGGATATGGTTTCAGAAGTCAATAGCAAAATGGATTAAGGATGGAGATAAGAATACGAGGTTGTTCCATCTTTGTGCCTCGAGCAAGAAAAAAATTAATTCCATCTCCTCATTGATTATTGAAGGTAAGGAAACTTCGGATCTTGATCAAATAAAAGAGCATGTAGCAGATTTTTTTACGGAGGTGTTTAACAGTGTAGCAACGTTGGAAGTGGATGATATGAACATTGGTTTTTCCAAATTATCAAATGAACAAAGGGAGTGGCTGGAGGTGCAATTTTCGGAACATGAAGTTTGGGAAGCGATCTCGTGTTCGGATAGTAATAAGGCGCCTGTCCCGGATGGGCTCACTTTGGGTTTTCTTAAGAAGTGCTGGCCTAGTTTGAAGGACTCGGTGATGTTCTTTAGTGATTTTTACCAGAAAAAGAAATGGGAGCACGGTGTCAATCACGCCTTCATTACCTTAATTCCAAAAAAGATAAATCCAATATGTTTGGATGACTATAGGCCCATCAATCTCGTTGGAAGTCTGTATAAAATTTTGTCTAAAGTATTGTCCAAGAGACTTATATCGTGCGTTGAAGATATTGTTAGCTCGTCTCAGTTCGCCTTCATTCCAGGAAGACAGTTGTTGGATTGCGCATTTATTGCTAATGAGGCTATAGATTATTGGAGGAAAAAAGGGCTAGGTGTTGTTTTTAATGTAAATTTCCGTAGAGCTTATGACACAGTTGAATGGCCAATCCTTCTAAGAATCATGAAGGAGATGGGATTTGGTGAGAGATGGTGTTCGTGGATCTCTTACTGTTTATCTTCTGCGTCTGTCTCCGTTCTTCTTAATGGTACCCCACAAAGAAGATTATGATGTCAAAAGGTTTAAGACAAGGATGCAGCCTTTCTCCAATCCCGTTTAATCTAGTTGGGGAGTTACTTCATTTGATGTTGACTAAAGTAGTAGTGAATCTGGGCCTTTTCTATGGTTTCACTGTTGGAGGGTCAATTAATTCTTGCCAGTTGTCGCATCTTCAGTTCGCAGACGATTTAATAATCTTCTGTTGCGCTTCCCTTGAGCAAATCAGAAATGTTCAGAGAGTCTTGAGAATTTTCAGCTTGATGTCTGGGCTCATTCTAAATCTTTCGAAAAGTCATTTGTATGAGATCAATATTGAAGAAGCTATTCTAAAAGATTGGGCCTTATCCATAGGTTGCTCTGTGGGTTCATTCCCGACGGTATATCTAGGGTTACTGTTAGGAGCAAAGAAGAATTCAGAGGATTTGTGGGATCCAGTTATACAGAGGTTTAACAAAAAATTTGCAGGTTGGAAAGTTTCTGCACTATCCTTGGCTGGTAGATTGGTGCTATTGAAATCATTTCTGTCCTCTCTTCCGATATTTTTCCTATCCGTCTTCAAACTGCCGAGTAAAGTTAGTAAGAAATTGAATTCGTTGATGCTAGATTCTTGTGGGGGATGGTTCAGAGAAGAATCGTATCCATTGGGTGAATTGGCAAACGCTGTGTTGTCCGATTGAAAATGGATGTTTGGGGGTCTTAGATTTAAATCTTACTAATCGGGCTTTGCTAGGGAAATGAATTTGGAAGTTTGCTAAAGAGAAGGATACATTGTGGAAAGATTTGATTTGCTGCAAACACGACGTTGATAGTATGTCTATGTTGGTTTGTAGGGTGTATTCTACCCAAGATTATTGGATTTGGAAAAGAGTTGATAGTATGTCTATGTTGGTTTGTAGGGTGTATTCTACCCAAGATTATTGGATTTGGAAAAGAATTGTTAGAAGCTTCTTGAAGAATGATTTGATTGGTGAGAGATTAAGATCACATTCTAGATTCCAAGTGGGAAATGGTAAATCAATTTCCTTTTGGAATGACGTATGGGTCGATAATATTCCTTTGAAAATTCAGTTTTCGAGAATCTTTGCATTGTCCCCAAATAAATCGGGTAAGGTGGTCGATTTTGGCTGTTATGATTCTAATAGTTGGATTTGGGATATTCGAACAAGAAGAAATTTGTGCGATTGGGAATTGGAATAATGGTTGGAATTAATGATCAAATTGAACAACATTCAGTTGACAGAGGCAGTGGATGATTTTTATCATGGTCAGGGAAAGGCGATGGGTTGTTTTCGGTCAAATCTTGTAGGACTCTTGTTAAAGATTAAGTGGTGAACCCTATTTGGAAGAATTGTGTATGGTCGGGGTTGGTGCTTGCTAGAATTGAAAATTTTCTTTGGCAAGCTACTCAACAAAAACTGGCAGTTAAATCACAGCTGAAGAACAGGGGGATACCCTTATCAGATGGGGAGCTTTGTCCGATGTGTATGTTGAGGGATGAAACTGTCCAACATTTGTTTATTTTTTGCCCAGTAGCTGGTGAGATTTGGACCAAGTTTTTCAGACTTTGGGATGTATGTACAACTTTGCCGCGGGATATTCCTTCCCTAATTAGTTCCTGGTCTGATTTGGTGGTGAATTCAATGATCTGGAAATTTATTCCAGGTATGATCCTTTGGTCGATATGGAAACATAGGAATTCAATTGTTTTTGAGAATAAGGTTCTGGACAGGTCGTCCGTCTTCTTCATTGTCAGATTTAGATTAGTCAAGTGGTTTTTTAGTCAAGTTTCATCAAGTGTCGATTTCGGTGGATTCGTTAATAGTTGATCCTTCTTTAGCAGATGGTCTCAAGTGTTTAAAGGTTCCGAATAGGGTAGTTCATAAATGGTTCCCTCCCCTTGCTGATTTCTTCAAGTTTAATGTCGACGGTGCTATGAGAAGCGATGAGATGGCTGGTGGCATTGGGGGTATTCTTAAAAATTCAAATGGTTTCGATCTAGCGTCGTTTTCAGAGAGAGTCGGACCTGGTCCTCCCCCATTAGCAGAGTTGAAGGCTATTTGGAAAGCTACTGAAATTTTTTATTCCTCAGTTTGGGCTACACAAGGCAGATTAATTATGGAAAGTGACTGCAAAAATGTTGTAGAATGGGTCCAGTCGCCTAGTCTCGCCCCTGTGTTCTTTAGTAATTTTATTAAGGAAATTGAGTCTTATGTATTGTCTAGGGGTTTGTTCGTGAAGTTAATTCCTAGAGGTTGTAATTGGGAGGCTGATAAGTTAGCTAAGGAAGGGATTGGGTGATTGTTTGCTATTTAACAGGTTGTTCCTGCATCTTTTGAGGACAACCTTTTCTGTTATTATGTAAAGGTTTTCTGGTGTATTCATGAAATATCAATAAAATGAGGTACTCTTTTCCTCATTCCGCTTGTCGACCCTTTCCTTTTGGAAAGGGTCAATTATGAGAGGGGTTTTTAACGAGACCTCCTACTTCTATAAATAAAAAACGTTAGATCACGTTTTTTTGGGTTAAAATTCTGCCCAAATATTGATCTTAAATATTTCATTTATGCAAGTTCTGTAATTATATATGTTTGTAAGCTTAGGCTTATATATTTTATCATGGCAAAACTGTGTGTCTGTAAATGCTGTTTTTAGCAATTGTTCTGCTGTTCTGAATTAACTGTCAGAAAGCATGCTTGTTATGCTGCTGCATATGTGCATTCACCTTTTTTAGAATTTGGATATGGTTATGTTCATACTTGAAGTAAACTTTGTCAACATATATTTGTGCGGATAGTATTTATGGAACTCTTGGATCTCAGGTGGCATTCTCAAGGCTATTTCAGACCGAAATTTGACAGGGGAAGTGATCCATTTGTCATATCAATGCCACCTCCTAATGTTCCTGGCTCTCTGCATATGGGACATGCAATGTTTGTGACTCTTGAGGTTGTGAAAATGATTTTAAGATGCTCCAGAAAGGATTTAGTTTTATTACTTATTCCACTGGCAGTGTCAAACATTTAGGATGCATTTGTCAGGCATTATTGACACAAGATTCATTGTGGTTTTCCGAGTTTATTTACGAACTTGAGAGTATAGATAATTAAGTGGGAAACCGTTGCATCTCAACTTCGAAAAATGTTTCATATAGCATAATTTTATTTTATTTCAACGTATATGAGCCTACATTGATCAATTTAACTCCTTACCATCAGAAAAAATGTTGTGTGAAACAGTTTGCACTCTTTTAATTGCAATTGGTTAGTGATTTGGTACAAAAAGGTGAAGATGAGGATGAGATATAAAGAAAGATAAAAGGATCCTTCTAGTTCCAATAGATTCTAACCTCGACTTTTTAGACGTTGCAATTTATTGGCTTTGCTATTGGTCTTGTAATGCTTATTTTTTATTATATTTCTCCTATGTTGGTCATTTTTAGGATTTCATGGTTAGGTACGGAAGATCAACACTTTGGCTTCCTGGAACTGATCATGCCGGTATTGCAACTCAGGTTAGTTTCTTGATGGCCTCATGGCCATGATTTCTGTTCATCCGATTCCTAAACTAGAAAGAGAGAAAAAAAAAGAGAGACATATTGGAATAGTCCAATAATCTAATTAAGCCACCTTCAGATTTAACTTGTGTAATGTTTTCTGGAAAAAAAATTGATCTTTACGGTCATATTATTTTTAATCCTCCATGTAAATATAATGTTTTCAGTTTCAATGTTGATTTGTATTCTGCCCTCATTATACTTTATGTTACATGTAGAAAATGAGTATAATTGAAGCTATTTTATTTTTCTTTGCCCAGTTGGTTGCGGAAAGAATGTTGACTTCTGAAGGAATAAAAAGGGTAGAACTGGGTAGAGATGAATTTGCAAAACAAGTTTGGAAGTGGAAAGAGAAGTATGTATTCCCTTAAATTATTTGAATACTTGGTTTTCCCTGCTGTTCTTTTCTGATATTGATTCTGTTACTTTGTACATATTGTCTACGGTGTTTAATGTTTTGTTGTTTTGGACGAAAAGGGGGGCTGGGACTATGCAACTAAAATGAATTCTATCTCTTCTCCCTCCAAATAGGGATACTTGTAAAGTTTTTATTGCTTTCACCTGTTGCCTAATTTCCGGTATTATTATTCATATTTTATTCTTAAGGTTGCATGATATAGGTAATAATTGTTCTATATATTTTAATTTATTTTTCTCATTGCTAATTTCAATTTTCGTTTACCTTTTAAGGTATGGTGGGACCATTACTAATCAGATTAAGAGACTTGGGGCTTCTTGTGACTGGACTAGGGAATGTTTCACCCTTGATGAGCAGCTAAGTCGTAAGACCGGTTTTCTATCTAGTAAAAGTGATCTAGCTAGTCTTCAAAGTCTTTTAAATTATGTGTGAAGTTATAACAATAGTAGTGGTCATTATAAAGTACTAATCAGGGACTTACATTGTTGAAATATCAGTAGGGTAAGTTCATTTATTCTGAACCTTGCGTTCCTATTGCAGGAGCTGTTATTGAGGCTTTTGTTAGACTTCATGAGAAAGGATTAATTTATCAAGGTATATGTCAAAATTCCATTGATTACTACCATTTTGCACTTTGCTAACTGATATTTAACATGCTTAGAAATGGAGGCTTTTTTAAAAACCCCCTTCATGATTTCTAGAACACCATAAGGTATTCCATAGATCAGTGGAAGGAGGAAAAGAGTGCCTCAAATTTTATTAATTGAAAGAGGCAAAGAGCAATACATAGCATATGAGTACAACGAAACTTTGCCCCCATACAATAGATATAAACCAAAAGACAAGAAAAAACAAAAACCAACCCACACTCCCTATCTTAACCTATTCCTGTCTTTGCTAAAACGTTAGCCTCTAAGTTTTCTGACCTAGCTATCCAACAAATAATACCCTTCAAGTTTCTGATCTTATCCACAATTTCTTTAGAGATTGAAACATACATACTTGGGCATTTATCCAAGTTTTCAATCCACTCCACACACAATTTAGTATTGCTCTCAATAATCAACCATCCCTTAGAACACCAGATAGAAGATTCGAAGAAAAGTAATCCAGATTTAATGGCCATTAATTCCATCAAAGATGGAGGACCCAGACCAGAAGCTTCTTGAAAGGATCCTAGTACTGTGCCGGAGTTATCTCTTAGAATTCCTCCTAAACCGCTTGCCTTCCAATCACCTTTGACAGCAGTGTCCACATTCAACTTTAGAAAACCAACCGGGGGAGGGGACGGAGAAATCTGATTTGCTAGCTGACTTTTTGGGGCAGAGCAAAGATCTCCAAGAGAGGGATCACCAATGAGGGAATCCATCGAAATGGGAATATTAGTGAATTTTGCTAGGAACCAAGCTGTTAATTTGAACCTTGCTGTGAAGAACAACTGAACTGGATCAAACACTCCCTTCTCAAAAACAATGGCATTCCTACATTTCCAAATCGTCCACAAAACTACACCAGGAATAGAAGTCCAAATAGCTGAATGAGGCACCAATTCCTCCCAAGGTGAAAGAAAGCAATATGCATTTTCATGCATGACAACTGATATCTTCCACAAATTCAGAAACCTATGCCACAATCCCCACGCAGCATACATTTGATCTTAATATTCTATTCTTTCTCATTTGCTTTAGTTGTCTATAGTGGGAAAAAGAATAGAATGTAAATATTATCTTTCCATTCAAAAAGCTTAAAGAAATTACCATATCAAATGGAAAACGATAAAGACTAGTATTAGTATTTAAAAAGGATTTTGTATATCTTTTACCCCTTGGAATTCATTGATGTAGGTGTACCTATGTTTCAGTTTGACTTCTAATTCAAGTAGTGGCTATTGACTGGTCCCACTTGGTAACATGGAATTGATGTAAATAAACTTGTCTGTACTTCCATTTTTGTACATACACATATACAAAGTCTGATCTAAAAATAGCTCAGCAAAAGACTTTAAGGGAAGGAGGTTTTAAACTTAGAGGTTCCCTTTAGAACTTAAATACAATTATTTTCATGGTGACCTGAATAGATTCTCTGGTGCTTGATGGTAGGATGTGGAGGCTACTTTCTTTTTTTATTTGTTTATTCTTTAATTTTATTAAGTATACAATTATACAACTCAGCTCAGATTTTTTCTGATTTTATTTGATTGTCCCTTGCACAATAGTACTCTAAACCTAGTTTAAATGATATGATATTTTCTTTTAGGATCTTACATGGTTAACTAGTCTCCAAAGTTACAGACTGTTGTTTCAGACTTGGTATGGATGTTTGTTTCATGAGGATATTGCTTGTCTTTTCTGCTCTTCGTTTTGCATTGTTTATCATTCAACTTTGTCATTTCAATGGCTCCCTAGGAAGTAGAATATTCTGAAGAGCCTGGCACCCTCTATCATATCAAGTATCGAGTCGCTGGAGGTTCAAGGTATTTAGTTTTATTCGGTGTTTGTTTATGTGTTTGCTTACTTTTTCTTATAGTATGAATGGACTTTAGTAAATCAAAGGGGAAAAAGCAGTAAGACAACTTGATTAATAATCGTCATAGTTAAAAGATATAGGATGGAGAGAAGGCAGGGAATGTCATGTAACTTTGAGAGCTTGAAAATTTTAGCCATATTGGGGTGTTAAATTTGGCAACTAAGTGGTTGGGAATCTCCTTTCTATACTTATATTATTCTGATTTTGATTGTAATATAAAATTATATATACTTTCAATTCATATTGTAATATGTCCTTAAATAGATCATCTTGAATCTACCTTATTAGTATTGCCATGTGTTGCGACTGATGCTTAAATATTTGTTCTGTATAGGAGTGGTTTCTTAACAATAGGAACCACATGACCTGAAACTTTATTTGGTGATGTAGCAATTACTGTGAATCCTAAGGTATATCACCTTTATTTTTATGCTTTTCATTTTCTCCCTGCACATTATATTGCCAGCAAAACTTGCACATTAAGGTATAACTTCAGAACTCTATGCCCTTGTATGATTGACACATTACTTTTGTTCAGGATGAGCGTTATTCCAAATATGTTGGTAAAATGGCTATTGTTCCTATGACTTATGGTCGTCATGTTCCTATTATCTTTGATAAGGTAAAAGCACTTGTTACTATTTTTCTTAAATATTGTTGCATTCTGCATCAATGTAATAATGATTATTTTCCTAATGCTTTGTCACTCAAAATGATAGGAATATACATGACAAGAATTTAAATACAATTTTAGAGCACAAAAGTGTGTTGGATTGTTCTTGTTTTGTCTGTGTGTTTCTTTTTCCATTTTGGGGAGGTGGGGGTAGGTGTGAACTGTTAAGTTTGGTATGTCTGTCAAGTCCTGTGGTGGTATTTGGGTTTTTATTTATAAAAGTTAAATTTTTCGTGTCTTACATGGAACGTGCGGGGCTTGGGGAGAAAGGAGAAGGTGAGGGAGGTTATTGCAAGGATGTGCTATGGTTTCGTCGGTGGGGTCTGCAGGTGGGTTGTTAAGTTTATGGGACGAGGAGAAGATTGAAGTAATGAATCAGTTTGTGGTTAATAGATTTGTAGCGTTTTTAGGAAAATTTAAAGAAACATGCTCTTAGTGTTGGTTTGTCAACGTGTATGATCCTTCTATTGAAGCAGAAAATGAAGGTTTTTTGATAAGCTATACTCCTTTATTGATCAAGCTGTTTGGCCTATCTGTGTAGGTGGGGATTTTAACGCTTATTTGAATCTGGAAGAAAAAGTAGGTAGGTCTCAAAACTCTCATTCAATTAGGGTGTTTTCTGAATTTGTTAAGAATGCGAATCTGGTTTATCTTCCTTTGAGTGGTGGTAGTTTTACTTGGGGGAATAATAGAGCGGATCAATCGGTGGTCAGGCTTGTTGAAAACATTTTGATATTTCGATATAACAAATTAAGTTAAATGAATTTTAAGATTTTCTATAAAGATTTTCTAAGTATATTCGATATAATTATTCGAATATCAAAATATTACTCAAAATCTTTCAAATGTCATTTTTAATTCTTACTCAAGTGTAAAATTAAGTTTTAGTCTTAAAATAATTTCAAAACAATTTTACAAAATATTTCGAACCATTTCAAAGCCAAAATTTCCAGATTGCTAAGAGAGAACCGATTACCCCCAAGGGGTACCGATTCCCCCCTCAATGGTTTGGCTTCGAGAATTCCAGTATGCTCGGAGGGAACCGATTCCCCCCACTGTTCAACGGTCGAAATATTTGAATTTTACACTTAGGGAACCGATTCCCCTTAAGGGGTACCGATTCCCCTCACGCTCCAAGCAGAAATATTAATTGTTTTCACACTTAAACAGTTCCAAAAACTTCATTAATGATCCCCAACGTTCAGAAGTGATTCAAGGTGTATTTAAGCAAGCTTAGAAGCCATTGATCAATAACAAAAACAACAAGCAACTAGAATCAAGAAAGAATCAAAGAGAAAGCATCAAACCTCAAGTTTGAGCATTTCAAGCCTATTTTTCATTCAATATTCATTTTGCTTTCAAGAACACTTATTGTGCTCAATTGTATTCATTCTTGAGTGTTCTTTTCTTTGTTCTAGAATTGTGCAAACAATCTACCTTGTGAGGATTTCCTTGTAAGTTTGCAAATTTGTATTATTCTCTTTGGGAGAGAGTGTTCTCAAGAATTTGGGGTATAATTCTTGAAGGTTTGTAAGGTTACTCTTTGTCCTAAAAAGAAAGACAAATTAGTGAATTTGTGAAAAATCCTTAGTGTAGATAGCTAAGGTAGTGTACGTAGACTTTGGTTGAGAAAGTCGAATCACTCTAAATCGCTGTGCAATTATTTTTAATTTTCTGCAAAAGCTTCCACCAAATTTTTAATTGCCAATTCACCCCCTCTTGGTCGATTCCATCAATCGATTAACTCATCAATTGGCATCAGAGCCTAACCTATTTGAAGGTTTAATCGCCTTTTGAGTCGATTCGAGAAGAGTTACATCGATAATCAAAGTCATCAATGGCCTCTGCTTCAAACTTCGACTCCGATCTCGATTCGATGCCCGTCAACAAGCCTCCTTTTTCAATTGGGCTAACTATGCCTATTAGAAAAATAGGATGATGTACTTCATTCAAGCAAGTGACATGGAAGCATGAAATGTCGTAGTAGAAGGATACATCAAGCCTCTCACTCATCCAAGATTGTGGAGTGAAGGGGAGACAAAAATGTTCCAGCTCAACTCCAAAGCCATCCATATCATATTTTGTGCTCTTGGACCAGATGAATACGAAAGAGTTTTATCTTGTACAACCACCAAAGAAATATGGGACAAACTTCAAGTCACTCATGAAGGTACCGATGAGGTAAAGAAATCTAAAATTAGTATTCTAACGCATAGCTATGAAAATTTCAGGATGAAACCAAATGAAGATATCAAAGCTATGACTGATAGATTTTCAACGATTGTCAATGGTCTCAAATCATATGGAGAGATCATTTCAAGTGAAAAACTTGTGAGGAAGTTAGTCTACTCCCTCCCAAAATCGTGGCAATCAAAGAAGACGGAAATCATCGAGTCTAAGGACCTAACGTCCTTAACTCTTGAAGAGCTAATCGGTTTACTCCTCACTCATGAAATGATGCTTGAAGATGAGGTGGACTTTGATAAGATTGAAGAGACACCAAAGGCGAAGGAGAAGAAGAAAAACATTAGAGTTGCTCTCAAATCCATAAAAGATGAGAGTGATTCGGATGAAGATGATGATGACGAGGAAATGACATTGTTTGCCAAACGGTTCAAAAAAATGATGAGATCTTACCGAGGAAGAAAATTCAACTGAAATAAAGGCCTAAAAAATGAACCAAAAGAGAAGGATCCGATCATTTGCTATGAATGCAAAAAGCCGAGGCATGTCAAATATGATTGCCCACAATTAAAGAGAAAGGGTCAATCAAAGAATAAGCACAAGGCTCATGTGGCTACATGGAGCGACGAAGAAGGTTCCGATGAAGAGGAACAAGAAGTAGCAAACTTGTACTTGATGGCATTCGGGGAAGATTCTAAGGTAACCTCTAACTCATCTGATTTTGAAGATTTATCCTATGATGAATTATTAGAGGAATATAATGGGTTGGCTTCGGATTATGAGAAATTGTTTTTAAAATATAAAAATGATGTTTCAAAATTGAAAAATGAAAATAAACTCATATCCAAAACCAACGACGATCTTGAAAGTAAAATCAAAGATTTGCAAATCAAACTAGAAGAGTTTGAAAAGAAAAATTTGGATTTGCAAAATTTACTTTCAAAGGTCAATGATGATCATAAAAAGAAAATTGATGATCTTTTTTTTGATAAGTTGGAGCAAAACGTTTTGAAAATGGAAAAAATTCAAAATCCAACTTTGTTAGAAAAAGTTTTAAAAGCTACAATCATAGAGGTCCCCAAAGAACTTCTAATGGAAAAATCGTTAGAAGTATATGAGTTCCTAAAGAGCTCATTACTACTAAAGATAATGATATCCTACACAAATAGATACCTAAGGGGACTAGGATTTTGGAAACTAATGAATATGGACCCAAAAGATTTTGGGTACAAAAAATTAGAAATTAATCTATGTTTGTAGGAAAAAGAGCATTGCTACAAGGCACGAGAAACAAATCCAAATTCATGGTACCTTGATAGTGGATGCTCAAGACACATGACCGGAGACAAAAGCCGGTTTATTGAGCTTAACGTCAAAAATGAGGAGAAGTGACTTTTGGTGATGATTCAAAAGGTCACATTGAAGGTATTGGTACTATTGGTAATATCTCTTCCATACAAATTAAGAATGTTTTATATGTGAATGGATTAAAGCATAATCTATTGAGTATTAGTCAATTTTTTGATAAGGGATTCAATGTCATGTTTGATATTAATGGTTGTAAAGTCATTGACATTGTATCTAATCGGATTATGCTTGTTGGTCATAGAATAGGAAACATACATGGTGTATTTAGATTCTATTAATATGACTAATTGTGCCTAGTTGCTAAGGATGAACATGATAGTTGGTTATGGCATAGGAGACTAGGACATGCTAGTATGAGTTTTGCAACGGCTAATTCAAGGTGATTTAGTTCGAGGGTTGCTTAAGCTTAAATTTGATAATGATAAAATCTGTGATGCTTGTGCTAAAGGAAAACAAGAGCGAGTTTCTTTTAAATCCATTAATGACGTATCAACTAGTAGAGTATTACAATTAATCTATATATATCTTTTTGGGCTAACTAGGACTACTAGCTTGGGTGGAAAACAATATGCATTTGTCTTGGTAGATGACTATTCTAGATATACTTGGATTCTATTCTTAAGTATTAAAGATGAAGCATTAGAAAAATTCATCACGTTTTCAAAAGTAATCCAAAACGATAAAGGTTACTCTATAACTAGTGTTAGGAGTGATCATGGCACTGAATTTGAAAATCTTGGATTTACTGAGTTTTGTAATTCTAATGGTATTAGCCACAATTTTTCAGCACTTAGAACCCCTCAACAAAATGGAGTTGTTGAGAGGAAAAATCAAAATTTAGAAGAAATAGCTAGAACCATACTTTGTGAAAATAATTTGCCAAAATATTTTTTGGCGGAAGCCACAAATACTACTTGTTATGTTGTAAATCGAGTAATGATTAGGCCTATTTTAAAGAAAACTCCATATGAAATTTTCAAAAATAAAAGCCTAACATTAACTATTTTATCCTTTGGATGTAAATGTTTTGTTTTAAACAACGGTAAAGAAAACCTTGCAAATTTGATACTAAAAGTGAGGTTATTCCTTAAATTCTAAAGCTTATCGAGTATTTAATAAAAGAACTTTAGTTGTAGAAGAGTCTATATATGTTATTTTCGATGATAATCCCCTTCCGATGAAGGATTCTTGTGTGAATGATGATGTAGGTGCTATAAATACAAATGACGTTAGACATGACGTTGGAGAACCATCATCAAAGGAAAAAACAAAAAATGAGGAAACTCATAATCCTCTTGAAAATCCAACCATTGAAGAAAAGGAAGTATCTTATCCAAGAGAGTACAACTATGTCAAGGATGGTGAGATTATAGGTGATCCATCCAAAGGGGTAACAACTC